ATGTCTATGAAGAAATGACCCTGTCTCTGGGGGTTAGCATTCAAATGTAAGCTGTTCTTACGAACTAACTCTTCTCTCTATCCACCTAGGTCAGAAACCTATAGATCTGGATGCATTTCTGCTTAAATTTCTTGCTTTCCATATTGTTAATACTTGCCCCATGAGACTCTGAAAACCAAAACAATGTGGACAACTCAGTATCCCTTACAATCTGAACACACTATGTGAACCCTAAAACAAAACAGATTTGGCTACTGAGGACACCCTCTTATTACAAGAGAATTTATGAATCATTCTTCAAGCACTGACAATCATCAAACATTCTGCAATACTGACCCACTGTAAAAGATACCAAGTCATGCCCGTATACTATCTGGCTTAAGGTCACATTCTTCATGTTCAATATAAGTTCAGAGTAACAAAAAGAAAATTAATTGGGTATTTGAATCAATCAATCAAAATAATTTTCATTACTACAGGTAGGCAACTCTTTCTAGTTATAATCTGTCTCCTAAGAGTGATCCAGAAAACATTACCAGGGACCAGCAGATGGTGTAATGGTTATGTCACTGAACTCCCACATACTTGACCATGGTTTGGGTTTTGAGTTCTGCAGCTTAAAACACACCAAGCACATTGTGTGTGTGCCCAAACTCTCAAGAGGAGAATGAAGAAGAAGGAATTTCAGTGTGGCCATACTCCCAGTGTGTGCGGGGTGTTTTCTCACTTTCTGTCTCTCTCACAAGCACATGCACCCTATAGCAAAAATCTCTCTCTAAAAAAAGAAAAAAGAAAACATTTCCAAAACAGTATGGAATCTGTCATGCTATCAGCCAGTCAGTGGGCATCTAAGACTATCTAGAGGCCTAAAAAATATGAAAGGTGCATGTGCATGCCCCAAATCCCTATAGGATAGAAAAACGGAAGAAAAGGAATTGTGTGACCTTGCCTCACTTGGAGGAGGGAGGTATGTTCTTCTTCTGTATGGGAAGAGCAGACATCCTGTGGCTTATAAACAAATACAAACGAAATTATTTCAAGAAGGATTTACTCTTGGGACCAGCAGTTAGTGTAATGGCTATGTCGCTGGACTCCCACGTAGTCGACCGCGGTTTGAGTCCCGGACCCGGTGGTTTAAACTCAGCCAGGCATGTGGGCATTCGTGCCCAAGATCCTGAGAGGAGAATGGAGGAGAAGGGATTGTGGCGTGGCCATCCCCCCGGGGGGTGATTTCCTGCTTTCTGTCTCTCTGTCTCTGTCTGTCTGTCTGGTGAGCGCACACGCCCTATAGCAAAAATCTCTCAAACAAAAAAAAAAAAAAGAAGGATTTACTCTTAACACTATTATAGATAGGATCTACAAGTGATCTCAAGACTCTGAGGGAAGAAGATTTGAATTTATTAAAGAGAAAATGAGAAAGGACTAAAGTTTCAGTAGTAGAACTCTTTGTAGGAACAAGTCCAAAGACTTAGCCAGGGGCTTAACAAATAATAAAATTAGAAAGGAAAGAATTTTTGCTCTCAGAGCAATGAAGAAGGTAAGGGCACCAACCTTCTTGTATTAGAAAGTGGCTTGTCCTTGTGAAGCGCTGTGAAAGGAGCAAGTTGACCCAGTCGCAGTTCCCTCTGACCCCACACTGCCCAGGAGGTTTGGCGCAGGGACCCCCTAACAAGCTTTACAGCAGCTTGCGTCAACATGGCAGAACACCCTGGAACTAACGATTACCACCACCTGGCAGGAAACACAGAGATGTGGTGTCAGGTGGGATAGACAGTATACACACACCCAACCAGCACTCTTATAGGTTGGGGGGGGGTCATGTCTCCACTATCTTTTAACTTAAGACTCTCTTAATGGACAGTAACCCTGAATCACAGACTGTGCAACTGTAACCGACAACGTTCTCAGTACTGGCTACAGGAATAAAGTGCACATCTGGGGTCAAAAGTCAACAAGTCAATCAATAGCTTACAGGCATAAATGATTACAACATTTTAGAACACAGAAGACAAATGTGAGAGTGTTTTTGAGGCCCCTGAAGTGTGGTTTCTCTCCCGAAGGTAAACTATGTGGCCACAAGATGGCAATAGGAAGCACATAAAATAAGAAGAAAATGTCACAATTAAGTGCAAACTCCTGATGAGGCTAAAAGCATAAAACACCTGAGTCAAAGATAAGACTTGTTTGTAATTCTAGAAATAAGAAAATTTCAGGAAGGGTCATAGCCTACAGTATGTTTATACATTATTAACAGTGGAAGGCAACAGAATATAGGGATCATGCTCCTTATTATGTTCAAATAAACAAGAGGGGAACCTTTAATTCAGGAATGAGTTACATGGGGGACCTGCAGATGATGAAATGGCTACATTGCTGGACTTCTATATAGTCAACCGTGGTTTGAATCCCGGACCTGGTGGCTTAAACTCACGCTAGGCGCATGTGCATGCGTGCCCAAGATCGTGAGAGAATGGAGAAGGGATTGTGGTGTGGCCATCCCCCTGGGGGGGGGAGTGATTTCTCACTTTATTTCTCTCTCTCTCCCTGTCTTTCTGGAGAGCGCACATGTCCTATAGCAAATACGTCTCCAAAAAAAAAAAGAATGACTTATATGGGCAGGCAGCCCATCTGTTTTGAAATGAGGGGACAATACCTGGCATAAAATGGTGCTCACTAAATATTTCAGACCAAGAAAGTTCTAAGAACAATTAGCAAATACAAGGACTAATCATAAAAAATTATTTTAGTTCACTGTTACTAGAGAAATATTCAGTCAACAGACTGTTCTAGACAATGTGAGGTAGTACAATACAATCAGTAGAAAGACATGGACTGTGCAATTATCAATGTGAGTTTGGATCTCTGCCCCAGTGTCTTTGATCATTCCTAAACCACACTTCAGTTAACACTCTTAATTCCCAGGACCTGTTTATTAATTTGAACATAGGACATTAACACTTCTCTTGCAAGGTTATTGAGATTAAACAGAACAAGCTTGTGTAGATCTAGCATTGCACCTGGCACATTAAGTTGCTCAAAACAGTGGAAGCTGCATTTAATCTAAATTGACCTTGGCCAGTCTCAGAGATCAATGGGGAAGGGAGCTGGATCCTATATGGCTGACTAGGAGTACCAGGCCAGGCAACTTGAAACAAACAAACAAATTTGTTATGTTATGCGTATGTGCTCTATGTGCTCGCCTGCCCCAAATCACCACAGGTTTGAGAAATGGAGAAGGGAATGCAGTGTGACTGTGTCCTATGGGGGATACTTTTTCCCTCTATCTCTGTCTCTCTCGTTAGCAGGAGCATATGCCCTTTGGAAACTAAAAAGAAAAAAGAAAGCAATTGACCAGTGTCCTTTTAGTTTTTTTTTTTTTTTTCCTTGCCATAGAGCGCTTCCCAACACCGGAGAAAGATAAGAGAAAAAGTGAAGACACCATCCCCTGGGAGAACGGCCACTGGCAATCCCTTCTCCTCTATTGTCCTTTCAGGATTTTAGGCATATATGCATATGTGCCTGGTGATTTTCAAGCCACTGGGTCCAAGACTTGAACAGTGATCGGCCATGTGGGAGTCCTGCACCTTAACCACCACGCCACCAGTTGGCCCTGACCAATGTTCTTAATTCACCCTAAAATCCTATTCTCAACTGTAAACCTTGCTCTCAAGGTATCTGTGATTTACAGTCCTATAATTCAATTACTGATGTAATAGATTAAAGTCCAATTTTCCCTAAGGAAGTAGTCCAAGATCAGGTTCCAAACATCTACAGAAATCTACTGGATTACTTTAATGAAGGACAACCAAAGGATATCAGGGTGCTATCACATCATAAATATAGTATTGCCTTTATTATTTTTATAAAATATTCAAAACATAAGGTTAGAAATACAAAAGGAAACTTACCAATACTTATTCACTGAGTGCCTAGAGCAATTCCCTCAGTGTTCAGCAAGAGGATTAAGCCCTAATACACTGAGGCAGCCATGGTACATGATAATTTAACTTCTCTCCTAGGACTCTGGAATGGAGCTATTTATGGGCCATCCTTTGGAACATTAAGAAAACATTCCAGAGGCTGGCAGGTGGCCTGGTGGTTGAGAGTGCTGGACTCCCACATGGCCACCTGAGGTTTGAGTCCCACACCTGGCAGCTTGCTTTCTCACTTTCCCCTTCTCTCTCTCTCACTCTGGCCCTCTCTGGTCAAATTAAAATAAATAAATAAAATATTTAGGAAAAAGTAAAATGATTGCCCCTGTTTTGTGGTTCAAATGTGGAACCCCAGTTGAAAGGGAGTGTGGAACACAGAGGATCTACTTACAGATCCTTAGAATAGCCCTCATACATCGGTGCACAACACAATTTTAGAACTGGTCCCTTTTAATACTGTACATAAGGTTCAGAATCATCTCGATAAGGTCAAGGAAATTTTAAAGGGCAATCTGAAAAGACAGAATGTCTAACATTTCTCCAACCTCTTTGGGGAGTGGCTCAATAAACGAACGCATTTCTTGGAAGCAGGTTGGGAAGAAGGCAGGCGTGTTCTGCTTTCCTTTCCTGCTACCTCTCAGTTCTGGTGCTCGCCTCTTCTCCGCATTCTCTCACTCCGGGAATACGACATGGGGACCCCCGCCCCCAGTACCAGCAGTGACCCGGGGGATTTCGTTTCCGGGGCGCGGAGGCTACATGCCCACATGTGCGTATCCACGAGAGTCGCAAGAAGGCCCCTGCTCGACCCTTTCGGCGGCAACCTCGAGGCGCTTCCCAGCCCCGACTTTCCGACCGCAATGACCTTAAGAACCCGCAACGACACTTACTTCTTGCTCAGTTTGGGCTCGCCGCCATCCACTTTCACTTCAGGCTCCTGTACCGCGGCCATCCTCCTGGAGGGCCCGACCCGACAGTGAAGAGCTGGCACGACAGTTTCCAGGTCAGGGGCCGGAGCCCCGCCTCTTCCGGGAGAGAGGGGCGGGCTCACTGGGCGGCGCGGCTCGGCAGCGCAGGCGCAGGGCTGGGCGTCGAGGCCGCGGCGTTGGTGGCGGCGGCTCAGCGCGCTCGTGGTTCCTGCCGCTCGTCAGCGGGCTGCTCTTTGGCTACCTGGAGTCTGCCATGGCGGAGGCCATGGACGTGGGCAAGGACCCCAACGGGCCCACCCATTCCTCGACCTTGTTCCTGAGGGAAGACGGCAGCTCCATGTCCTTCTACGTGCGGCCCAGCCCGGCCAAGCGCCGGCTGTCGACCCTCATCCTGCATGGCGGCGGCACGGTGTGCCGGGTGCAGGAGCCCGGGGCGGTGCTGCTGGCCCAGCCCGGGGAGGCGCTGGCGGAGACCTCGGGCGACTTCGTCTCCACGCAGTACATCCTGGACTGCGTGGAGCGCAACGAGAGGCTGGAGCTGGAGGCCTATCGACTGGGCCGGGTCGCGGCGGCCCTGACAAAGCCGGGGACTCAGGCCGTGGGCGCCACGGAGCCGGAGCCACAGCCGCCGCCGCTCACGGTACGGATAGCTTTCACCGACGCGGACGACGTGGCTATCTTAACCTACGTGAAGGAAAATGCCCGCTCGCCCAGCTCCGTGACCGGCAACGCCCTGTGGAAGGCGATGGAGAAAAGCTCGCTCACGAAGCACTCTTGGCAGTCCATGAAGGATCGCTACCTCAAGCACCTGCGGGGCCAGGAGCATAAGTACCTGTTGGGGGACGCGCCAGTGAGCCCCTCCTCCCAGAAGCTGAAGCGCAAGGCGGAGCAGGACCCCGAGGCTGCGGATAGTGGGGGTGAGTCCTGCTGCTGGCGCGTGTGGGTTCTCAGTGGACACCCTTTGGGGAATAGCTTCGGGTGGGGTGTGTTTTCTTTCTTTCTTTCTTTCTTTCTTTCTTTTCTTTTCTTTTCTTTTCTTTCTTTCTTTTCTTTCTTTTCTTTTTTTTTAATTGTTATGGGGCGCGTGTGTTCGATGGAGAGACAGAGAAGGAAAGCCCAGTGGATTTGTCTACGCTGCAATCTCTTCTCCAGTTTTCTTTCCGTATTTTGGGCACGCTTTCAAAAGCCCCAACGTGTTTTTTAAGTCTTTAGGTTGGGCGCTCGAACTGACAGTCGGTCATATGGGATCCAGCCGCCCTGCCTATCCCATGTCTCCTTCCAGCTCCTTAGGATTGGGGAGTCTCCAGAATGCCCAGTTTCATTCAGCCGGAACTAGGAATGAGAACCCATGGTAAGCCTTGTGGCTTTCCAGCATTGCAGTCTAGTAGGCCACTGAGTGGGCCACCTAAGCTGGGCTCAAAATGCATTTTTAATGCAGTTGAATTCAAAGTTGGGATTCACTTACAGTTAGGACACAGTAAAATCTGTTTACTTTTGGTATAACTGGTATCAGCAGCTTGAACTGACCCTTTTGTTCAAAGAAGCGTGCTTCCTCCTCTGCCCACTTCCCTTTTCTTCTTTTTTTTTTTTGGAGAGGTTTTTGCCATAGGGCATGTGCTCGCCAGACAGACAGAGACAGAGAGACAGAAAGCGAGAAGTCACACCCCAGGGGAGATGGCCACGTTGTAATCCCTCCTCCTCCATTCTCTCGGGATCCTGGGCATGCACACACACTGGGTCTGGGACTCGAACCGCGGTTGACTACATGGGAGTCCAGTGACATAGCCATTACGCTAACTACTGATCCCCCCACTTTCCTTTTCTAATATTTGAAGTCTGGTAGATAACATATATTCTGCTACTCTGTATGCTTAGGAATTTTGTTTTTAGTAAAATGACATTCCAGGTTTATTCATTCATGGTCCCTAAATTAATTCTTAAAAAAAACAAAAACAATAAAAACCTTCTCATGATACTATCAGAAGGCAAACTGAAAGAAACATTTCTATTATAATAAATAACAGACTCAGTTAACATCTGAAGAGCTCTCAGAAGTCAATAAATGAAAGGAAAATTTAAGAGAATAACGGGGACAGAAAGTGTAACAAGTTGGGACTAGCAGTTAGCGTAATGGCTATGTCGCAGGACTCTCACGTAGTCGACCGCGGTTCGCGTCCCGGACCCAGTGGCTTAAACTCACGCCGGGCGTGTGTGCGTGCGTGCCCAAGATCCCGAGAGGAGAATGGAGAAG